AACTCACTTTCACGGGAGACGCACGACTCTCATTGCAGAGTCACGATGGAGTTACACTCGCTGCTCACGACTCAAAAATGTGACTCAAATTGCTTGACTCCAAAATTGTATTTCCCGCATTCTTTCTGATTTGATTCGGATTCGGATTGCTCGTGAGGCGTAGCCATTTTGATTCAAGGATTCACTCACATGCAGACGTTGGTCACATGATCCACCATTGGAGCCCTCGCGGTCGGCTTGACAGCTCACAGCAGACGTGGAACAAGCCGCGCCCAGCGCAGGACAACGCAAAGCCTGCACACCAACGTCTGACGTGCGTGTCGTCTGCCCAAGCTCCGAGCATGGTGTGAGTTCAAGCTAAGTGCCTTCCACTAGCCCTGACTTTGTACCTCAAATCTGCGAGGCCTCATATCGTGATTGATTACGATGGATTTGGCACTCATTGTGAAGCCAGCTGTATCGAAGAAGTGGCTGCAAGAGAGTCTTGTTGAAGCGTCTTGACCCGCATCGTGTGGCTGGAAGTCGAATCGAAAATCAACCCAGCAGTGATCACGTGACGGGCTTGTTTCTGGCGCACTCACCGTCATGCCAAGGTTGCCAACATGCGTGAAGTCGTACCGTAAGCATCCTGGCTTTGATGTCGCCATCGCAAACCCATCTTCCCAGTACATGGTGGCATAGAACAGTGGGTCGTCTCCCAACTTGCCCTTCGAGGGATTGGACCAGCTAGACACCGACCAATCCCTTTTCAAGCAGCACAACGCAGCATGCCAGCGACCAAGCGAAAGTCGCCAGGTGGCGTTCCGCAGCCCTCTGTCAGGTCCTTCTTCACGCCGAGCAGCAGCGTGAAACCATCATCGCCCGGATCGACCTCGAGGTCCGTATCAAGATCGAGCAGCGCCACTCATTTCAAATGCGCAAGCCCCCTCGACGAATCATCTGCAAAGATTGCACGGAGCGAGGGCTCAGCTTCAATAAGACCACCGCTCGCAAGCGCCAAGGAGCTTAGAGCGGCCGAGGAAAGAGACTT